CCCCCCCTCCACCTTATCACTCCCTAATGGGGTGTCTTTTGTTTTGTGCTTAAATGCCTTCACACGAATTAAAGTTTTGGATTTTATCACTTTAATTCTATTTTTTTCTTTCCAAAAAAATGTCTGCCACTTAATGGGCTAGATGCAGAATTAGTCATTAAAAAGGGAAATAATTAAATTCGTTTAATTTAAACATCAAGATTTGATAATGGTTCAATCTACAGAAAAAAATATATTAAAAAATAGATCAAAACAAAGCCACTCTAGAATAAAGTCCATTCTTCTTTCGTCAAATTTGGATGTTTTCAAACGACTACTTGAGAAAATCGGAGCAATAAAATAGACCAAACGTCACATCTTCGAAGTTTATTCTAGAACCCAAAGATAGAAATCGATTTGTCGTTACCGATATGTCCAATCAAATATGAGCAAAAAAGTCAGCATTTGCCAATGTCGAGGTATGGAAATAACTGAAGGGCTTCAGTTTAACAACATTAAACAATATCCTACAGAAATACATTGGGAATGGAAGCCTAACATCAAACCGATTTGTGTCAATGCAAAACGCTCCAACCTGAAGTCTCAGACAATGACATTCAAGCTTATTCTATAAAATTTATGCCATAGTAGCCTCCGGCTATAAGTGATCCAACCTGTCCAATAACAGAATATTAATAATTAAGAAGACGGTGAATGTAAGGAGAATCAAACGATACCTCAGTAGTACTGGAGATCTGCGCTCCTCGACTGAGAAGTAGTTCCACAACGGGGATCTTGTTCTTTTTGCAAGCAATATGGAGAGGTGTGAATCCATTCTATAAAGTGAAAGCAAAAAAATTCTGGTAAACTGGTTGGCGAAGGAGAAGCCCAAACCGAGTTTAAAAAGGCTTAGGCAAGTTACCAAAGCTCGGGCGTTCATATCGCAGCCTTTGTCGATAAGAACCTTGGCAACTTTGACGTTACCGCAGTGCGCGGCTACATGGAGAGGATTGAGGAAGTCCTAGGAGAAATAAAATAGAATAATAATTACCAAATGGCTGCAGGGTAGGTATGCGTAATTATTAAATCGATGAAAATAAATTGACTGCGCGATAAAAATAAACGTCATGAAGGGGAGTGGATATCACTGATTTCGGATTGGTGACTGTGATTACAAGCCTAAGAGAATAAGACATGCAAATGCATATTTCAATGGCAAGATACCAGGATGACAGAAATTAGAATGAAGTACAGGAATTATCGGAGATAATTCAACAATTTTGAGAATAGGAGGTAACATAGTACGATTTCGATATTACAGGGACAACGCTGATGATAGCATGACAAGCAAAGATGATGTTCACTTAGACTGCAAGCCGACTGCAGTCATCACCAAAGTGATTGATTCTTAGGTTTAAAATTATTTGTTTCATTTCACATTTCCCAGTTTCCAAGATCAGGTCACGAGTTCAATGCACGCTCACAAGGAGTGGATTAAGTCCAGCTACTAAAGGAGAGGTTCGTAATGCTACTACTCTGCCCAATATGAGTGGCAGAGAACCTTTCCACTAAAAAAAAGAAGACTTGGGAGCCAATTAATTGATCCACTACCCCGAGAGGGAATAACCCACGGTGTTTCCCTAACTACCAAGTGCTGTAGCAATTATGACGGTTATAATTTAGCGCCGCTAATGCCATAAACTCATTTCAACTTCCCAATATCAGCTTCTAACTTGTTTGTAAAACGAAACTCAACTTAGAATTTTGTTACAAGAAAAAATATATATACATAATAACTGCACATAAAAAAGACCATCGCTCTCTTAAAAATTGTTCAAGTTGTAATAGCTCTAAGTACTAAGGGTAAATGTAGGGAAAAAAAGGTTGACAACGTAAATTTTGTTGTAACAACTTGTAATTTTACTACTTTTTGTCTTTTCCAAAAAGCGAACACTTTCCAATCGGCTGCGAGAAACAGATTTTCTCCAAGCGTGTAAATTAAGCATAAGGGGAACACAAAACTGCCAAACGAAATCTCCCTCTCGCCTTCCACCTAATCAACAACTGTGTTCGGCGTTGAATCAAAAAGGCGGTTAAAGTAATCCACAAAAAACCGTCCACCTCCACTTGAGAATGCAAAACTAAAATTGAAGTTATTACATGTCACTCGAAACTATATTTCGAAGAGATACCCATACACCTTCGAACGGAGAATTGAAGTAAAAATACCCCCCCCCCAAAAAAAAACAAGGACTATGTCTCCCCGCTCTTCTATGCATTGTTTCTAGCCTATAGAATGCGCGTTTGTGCAAAAAAAATCGTAGTGAACTCAAACAAATTGCATTTCAAGCAAGTCTTTGGCTTGGGGAAATTTCACAAATTTAGCCGCAAAATACTTTGCAACTCTTGTTGAGCAATTGTTGCAGGTTAACGTAGTGTGCTGTGAAGAAATAGCCCTGTAAGAAAGGACTCTGTCATTTCATTTTTATATGTAGAGAATAAGGAGGGTGCGATAGACTTACCTCCACGTGGTGCACAATGGGCAATGTATACTCATACGGCAAAAAGTCTATTAACTGGCAGTTGACTTCTGACTTTAAACTACCATCACCCCAATGTATGTCAAATTCGAATACTTCCACATTCTCACCTCACCTTTTTCTACCTTAGTTTCTGTCTCTTTTACATCTTTGAAACACTCTTCTGTTCCCCCCTCCCATCTCGACTTTTTTCACTTTGATGTTCCTTCCCCTCTCTCGACTTTTTTCACTTTGATGTTCCTTCCCCTCTGTGAAGCCTTAAGTCAACTAAAGGGCTAATGATAACTATCAAAACGCCTGTCATTTGGTATAAATAAATATTTAGAGAGTAAAATGTTTTGTGAATTAATGCATCGTAAAACCCATGCGCTTAGTAGAACAGATAGTTAGAATTGGCTACAAAAATGGTATTAGTATAAAATGAAGCTTTGAAGTTCGCGATTCTGCTCCGATTGCAGAGATCTGGTGTGGGCGTCGCTTGAATTAAAGGGAATGAGGAAAAAAGAAAAGGTAGATTCATTTTGAATTATTGTAACCGCCATCAAAGTGCCTCTATGAAGCAAAAGCCTAATTCTGCCAATAACTTAACACATCAGACTTTGTCTTCGCGAGTGGCACTCGACTCACTACTAATGGGCATCAAACTCGAAATTCATGACCTCATAGACGGCGTACTTGCCACTGTCAAGTACTAACGTTCATGTTAGCTTGTGTAAACACATGCATTTTCCCAATCAGATAAGGTAAGTAGAACGAACATCCCTTAATGTTTCAGTCACCATATTTGGGGCAATTTTTTGAAATACTAGGACTTCTGCCTACAGTCTTGGATTCAGATCAAGGACCACATCCCAGAAACTCCCATTTCTTTATTTACCTCTTAAAACTAGATGAAAAATGTCGCCGAAACACAACCCTTTCGAACCAGTCTTTTGGCTTAGAAGTTAAGCAGGACTGGAGAATTTGAATCGTAAAAGACGCAGGTGCGTATTGATTAGGTTAATAATGGAGGTAGTAGAAAGTTCTGTCATTGTAAAGCAATGAATTTTATGAATGAGGTCAATATCAAATTTCAATTTCGACATAGCATTTCCATACCCAGCTATGAAGGGTGCCTTTTGGGAAGGTTATACAATAAACAAAGAAATGAAAGCTCTTGCTTCTTACCCCAGTTGCAGACTGAAGACTAGCACCCCGAGCAATGAGATTTCGGGCGACTTCTTCGTGATTGCCTTGAGCGGCCATGTGCAGGGGAGTGAGACCATTCTACAATGAGGGAAAGAAGCGGCACTGTACAACCAATAAACGTGTTGACAACACTCATCATGCTTGCCCCCTACATGCCAATACCCTGCATAATACTTAGTGGGATGGGGTGTGCGATAGACTTACCTCCACGTGGTGCACCCTGGGCAACGTATACTCATACGCAAAAATGTCCATCAAACGGCAGTTGACTTCTGACTTCAAACCACCATCACTCCACTGTATGTCAAATTCGACTACTTCCACATTACTCACCTCACCTTTTTTCGACCTTTGGGTCTGTCTCTTTTACATCTGTGAAACACTATTCTGTTCCCTCCCCCCTTTCGACTTTTTCACTTTGACGTTCCTTCCCCCATGTGAAGCCTGAAGTCAACTAAAAGGCTAATGATACCTATCAAAACGCCTGCCATTTAATATAAATAAATTAATAAATACTTAGTGGGATAGCAGAAGTGCATATTGGAAAAGAGAGTTAGCCACAATCACGCATGAACGCATTGAAAGCTAATCAACCAGAAATTGGGCTAATGAAGAAACACACGATTGATTTCTACTAATGGAGGTAACTGGGAATAGGTACGCATTATCAGCCAAAAACACATGAGCAAATCGCTACAGAATGTCTTGAACTCGATCGGTAAAGACAGCCAGCATCTCTTGGGAACCACCTGTGACTGGCATGCTCCCTTCAACAGTATCTCCACGTTGACATATACATTGTCTTCGTCAAACCGAATACCTTAAAATTAGGGCTAGGGAGGGGGAAAAGACACCATTTATGATTGAAGGCTTCTCCTTTTAACTACTCGGTCATTTTTTTCAACTTGCAGACTAGATGATTAAAATGTAGCAATTGGAATTTCCAATTCCGCAAACACGGCAAAAATGAATCTCCCTGCTACCATTAAAGCAAAACATAAAAGCAATCCCTCGAGTAAGTAATTTGAAAAATAACAATGGGCGAAAAAAAGAGCCACATTTTGATATCCATTGGCAGATTCAATAGAATTACTTAAGTGAGAAATCATTTCTTCTGAGAGAAGAAAAACACACTAGAGGAGTTAAAGTGCAAAATAAAAGGGAGCAATAAGGTCAGGTTACCATCACTACCACAACGCGCGTTGCACTTAAGGTGGTGGTGGTGGGGGGGGGAGGGGGGGGAGAGAGAAATTAGAAATCAAAATAAACTCTAGAAGTCCACTTTTAAAGGTAACTCAGGGTTCGCGCTTAAAGTGACCTTAAACAGAGCGATGTGTCCTAATTACTTCATCCAACGAGTGTATTTAATTGGGAAGCGTTAGACATGAAAGAGGGAGCGAGAGAGAGAGAGCCACTTAGTTGGAAATTGAAGTAGGTCTGACTTAGGTTTTATAAGTTTACAAAATAGTGACATCTGGAGAGAAGAAATACAAGTACACTAACATTAGGCTCTCAAATCTGTTTCGAGGGCGGGAGAGAGAGGGGAGAAGGAGGAGGAAGAGGTGGAGGAATAACATCAAAGAGTGGGAGGGGGGATTCAATCGTTCACTTTACTAATCAGATTTAGCTTGTGTAGTTTGGCGTGAGCTCAAAGTTCACATTCGAGCATGTTAACGGCTACCCCACCAACTGACATACAAAGCATCTATTAAATGTTAAGTCCACCTTAAAAGTCTATGTCAACACTTTCCCAGGGAAGAAAGAACCCACCGAATTAACTGTTAGATTGAAGAGGGAAAGCATTCCAACAACTGGCCAAAAAGATCGGTTCCAAAACCACTCACTTAAATTACCCTCCTAGAGCCAACTTTTCAACATGCCAGAATTCGATTACGCGTAAATTCGTCTAACTCAAATCTATGATAAGATCTATATATATATAACAATAGACTTCATATTCATTCCGCCTGCAAGCATAAAACCTCCTAATTTAGACACTTAATAGCCTCCCTCCCCCACCCATTCGCATTGGTATACATAAAGCTGACATAAAAATGAGAAAGGACAAAAGGAGAGTAGATTTCGCATTCTAGATCTTGAAATCATGAAAGCATTGAAAATTTATGCGTCTATAACGATTCAAATGCATAAGTTTATCCTTTAACATCCGAGGTAACTGTGACATCAAATATTGGATTTGAGCCAGAAATCCAATTCTGGGAAATATGTTTGCACAAAATAATTTGGTTTCCCTTCATGCTTATTCATTGTAGGCTCTATAGGCGGGCTTTAATCCGTTTTACTGTCTCCACTTCCGGAAGTAGACTAATTTAGGAGAGAGTGCAGGATTGTACCAATCTCCTTTTTATATCTTCAAAAGCGATGAATATAAATCAAGCGAAAAAAATTGTCGCTGCAACTATTTAACTAATTAAAAAGAGGTATTGAGGTTAATGAGAACAAGGCAAGAAACTCAAGCAATTGAATTAAAGATAGCCCTCGTGGTTGCTTTCTGTGCTCACAATGTTATTTTGCGGAATAATGTTTGGTTGTTTTAACTCAATTGTGTTGAAGGTGACGCCTAAAAGTATTCAGATGCATGATTGCAACAAGCATTGATGATGATTGGAACCCACCTGATTTGTGGAAGAGAATAGCTTGTATCATGATGATTCAGGCTCGCAGTCAAACTAATAAGATTATTATCGCTACTCAACGTTCCCTTAACACTCTGAAATTAATCGAGTGAGAAATGAGATCTACGAGGCAAATATGTATAGAAGAAAGTAACATAACGGACTCTTTGAGATCTAGCTGTGGTAGCACAGCAACTGCTGCAGAAGTGTTGAAGCACCTTGGCTACGACACCACAGTTGACTGAATGTTTCAACCTCTTGAACTCGCACGCAATGAGCACTTTCGCTACTGCTCATACAAGGAAACACCTCAGAGGCCAACTTTTCACAGAAGGGGCAACGAAAATCGTCTGGCAAAGCCGGTGAAACTTTTGAGCGAATTGAAGCAACCCGATGAAGCACAAACAATTTGAGTCTTTTCCGGAAGGAAGCCTTTTGTCAAAATAAAAAACAGCATCCAGAATAAGAGATACACCAACTCAAAGGGCACTCTTTTTCAGTCCAGCAATTCAAATTACCCTAGCTGCACTGGTTATCAGATGTGTTCGCCTCCGAGGGTGATGTGAAGCATCCATATCTTCTTTTTTAAAATTTGTCTAATGTTGAATTCAAATACCTAAGTGGAATTGCTGACCTCTTTACTGATTAGACCCTGGATAATGAGCAAAGGTGGTCAATAATATGCCATATGTATGACAGTAGCTGGAGTTGGCTACCTAACAAACCTCAGGGAAATTAAAAAAATGATGGTGGTCAGTCATTTTACAAAGCTACATCAGTCCCAATGTTTGGACTCCAAACTTCTTAACCCGAGAGACTATTATGCATGCAATAGGGTCTATGAAGAAGGCACTAATAGATGTGTCAGTATTGGCAAAGACGACCAGATAATGGACAGAAAGTTATTTGATTTGAAAGGGAATAGCTCAACTCACCAATTGCAGGGTTCTTAAAGTTTGTTATCAGAGTTAGGGCTACTTTAAATTCAAAATAAAAAGTGCACCATATCACGACAGATGGTGCTAGTGTATCTTAGAACCACAAAGCAGAATGTGAGAACAATTGTAGGACAGAATGACAGTAATTCATAACTTAACTTACTGAAAGCAAGTTTATTCCTGACAGGACAGATTTCAACAGAATACGTTATCTGGTTCTAATTTATGACAGTTACCAAGCCCTCTGCATTTCTGTGGTAGCAAACTAAGAAAATACTAGTTGCCTATTTGTGCTAGAAACACGCGTATATTATAATGTAGTTTGGGAAAGAGGGAAATTAATAATTGGTGCAGATTTTGCCTGATTGGTAAGTAACACGAATCTCGCGCTGTTTGAGCAATAGGAATCCAACGAATCGAGCAAAACAAAAAGGGAGAGACAAAACATCTAGGGGTGGGGATGGGGGTGAGGGGAAGGGGGGAAAAACGATGGCATTTAAGTCCCATCGAATTGTTATCATCACTAGTTTTACACGTGGTAAAAGCCTACTAGCCAGAGCAAATGGGAAATAGCAACCTGTCTAAATAGAATAGCTTGGTGACGGAGTGAAAATTTGCGAGTGCATTGACGACGCAGTGGCCAGGGAGCTTGTCTGACAATTTGGAGAACAAAACAAGTGAGCAATTCGCGCATTGTCTTTAAATAAATGGTATACTTATCCATTTCCAAACTATAACTTAAGACTCGCATTTTTGACAGCTGTGAGTTAAGAATATGCGCATGTCAGGTTAGAGAGGACGAGATCGATGCTCCTAAATGTACACACAGTGGTGTGGATAGTCATAAGAACGGACCTCGGATACCCGTTCTGTAGTCGATTTGCATGTTGCTGGTATTTTCCTTAATGTACCAAACGCCTTGATCTGTGAAGTGGATTTACTTTTTCCTATCTAGTAACAAGGGATGTGCGATAGACTTACCTCCACGTGGTGCACCCTGGGCAACTTATACTCATACGGCAAAAAAGTTAATTGACCGGCATCTGGCTTCTGACTTCTAACTACCTTGACCCCAATGTATGTCATAGTCGGCCACTTTTACAGTACTCACCCTACCCTACTCTTTATCATTATGTCTGTCTCTTACGTCTACAAATCACTCGTCTGTTCCCCCTCTTGAATTTTTCTCACTTGGATGTTTCTCCCCTCTGTGAAGTTCGACGTCAACTAAGGGCTAATGATAACTATCAAATCGCCTGCCATTTGAAATAAAAAAATAAAATTATCTAATAACAAATTAGATTCAGAAGCCCAGTCCAATAAGTACAGGGTCTTAAATAGTCCACTAATCTATTTGCTCATTAGCGTTGTTGGACAAGTAGTATGAGTCGGTTTGCTCGCCACTTAACAACAAGAGTGTGTGTATGTGCGTGTGTGAGTGTGTATGATTTATTAGCATGACTCATCCTGTCTTAATATGGGAGAGTTTAAAGCGCGCATTGCCAAATCTTGGCGAGTGTGCAAAACCAACACCGCGGAGCCTACGTGTGA